AGCAAACGATAAGACATAACACATTATTCAACCGAAACCATAACAGACACATCAAAAATAAATACATGAATGTTGGATGTACAAAAGGTATCTAGTCATTTCGTATCATAACCATTTCGAACCATTGCCATCTCGTTCCCAAAATTACCATTTCGTACCATGAATTTACCATTTCGTACGATGAATATAAACCATTTCGTACCAAAAGAAACCATTTCGTACAAAAAAAAAAACCCATTCCGTACCATATGGAAAAAAAGATTTACAATTCCGTACCATATGGAAAAATGCTTTACTATTTCGTACCATATGGAAAAAAAGCTTTACCATTTCGTACCATATGAGACAAATTGCAGTATCATTTCGTACTATATGAAAATTGAACTTTATCATATCACACTTGGTGCAAGAAAAATATTCAGTTTTAAATGAAAGATGAAATACCGTTAAACTTTTCGTATTTTTTTATTAATAAAGAATTTACATGTAACTTGTATTTAATGTGGTGTGATTGTCAATTAAACAGCTATTTGAATTTTTCCATGTATATGACAAATTATTTACAATGTAAGGCACAAATTGTATAACCATTATGATTCAGCAAGACCAATCGACTAATGACGCACTAACCGTGTTTTAACTTTACATATTTTTGAGAATAATTTGCTTCTTCAACACTAACATGGTGCGAAATGGTATACATTATAATTTCCCATATGGTACTAAATAGTAAACATTATAATCTTCCATATGGTACGTAATGGTATACATTATAATCTTCCTTATGGAACGAAATGGTCATTTTACGAATTGGTTATGGTACCAAATGGTTTTTGTTATGGTACCAAATGGGTGGTACGAAATGGTTATGGTACGAAATGACTATGATTCGTACAAAATTGGAGCATTTTCTGCGTAAGGAGCACACTCCTGTATTTGAAATAAATATAGTGTGAATATGCATCAATAACGTATCAATTGAGATATGTAAACACCATACGACGGAGCAGCGGGTCTGTTAATGCTGAGAAATGGGAAATTGATAATTGGGAAGTTGAAATCATCCCGTTTGTCATAAATTTTAGTGTGAAGTCGTCCATCTGTGTCAATATTGAGGAAAATATCAAGGTATTAAACAGTCCTTCTTGCATCAGTAGTATCCTTAATTTCAAGTTCACTGGGGTATATGAGATGCAAGTTTTGACTGAAATATGGGTTATTTAGTGATAAGACATCATCAATATAGCTGAAAGTCAAATTAAAGAATTTTGCAAGGTGATTTTTCTTTTTGTCTTTTAGAAGATTCTGAAGGAATTCTGTTTCATAGGAGTACAAAAACAAGTCGACCAGAAGGGGTGCACAATTATTACTCATTGGAATACTGACTGTCTGTTGAAATATCAATCATCCAAACTCAACGAATATATTGTCGATTAAAATGTCCAGCATTTTGATATTATCATTTTCACTGTATTTTTTGATAGAATCAGTGTGGTTCTTCACAAAATAAGAATTATTATAACCAAAAACAAGAAATTTATATCTACGGTTCCCATTTTTATAGAAAACGCTCTGTTTAATGAGATGGTGAAGGAGATCTTTCAATTGAGCATGGGGAACAGTAGTGTAAAGCGTAGAAAAATCAAAGGTCCTAATATTGCTGCAATATTGCATACGTAATTGCAATAGCCATTGTTTTGTCCTATAAATAATCATCATAATTGATAATGAAAGACTCAATTTGATGTGAATTCTTTACCCAGTCATGGGGATACGGTTGTAAATGTGAATAGGAACAAGATACACAAAATATATAGTACATGAAGTTACCATTGAATTTCCTTTACAATAAACATGGAGTGAAGGAATATATATAATAATAATCGAAGATAATTTGCTATTTTTTAAATAGAATGATTGCACTACGAATTCCACCTTTCCTCAAGTTATTTTTTTCAATTTGGTTTGACTGATTCTACCACAAAACTTCTATTACTTTTAGAGCTTCTATGATCAAGCACACATTGTCAACGGTTGGACCATTTGCGCTAACTTGATCCTTAACAACTATTTTTTCTTTCTGTTATTTCGGAACTTCATCTACATTTATACGTTTGTAACCCACTAGAATGTTATCTCCATATTACCCTTTTCACCTTTTAAACTTTTTAGTCAATTTCTCGTTTTGTTCCATTAACAAAAATAACCCTTCATCTGCAATAAAGTAATGATGCTAGAAGTATGAAGACTCTTGCTTTACTTTTTTACCAAAGTAAAAGATGAAAATTGTAACGGATAAAGATAAAACGTATACTGTTTAGACAGTGAAAAGGCATCTTAAATACAAATAAACTTTTCCTTTTTTATAAACGAATTAATTGATGTGTTATACAAACCAAATAATTGTTCAAGTACATCCTTCAAATTAACGTATTATGTTTAGTAGAGCGCTTATGTTAAGTTGACAGATGAGGATAGTTGAAGGACTTTTAAGAAGTTTGTGTCTCCTAAGGCACTCGAAAAAAATTATACGTTGTTGAAAACTGTGACAAAATATTCAATAAAGTTGTAGAGCAATGAATTTATATAATCATGAAAGAAAGTCGTCACCGCTTCACACATTACTGGTTGTTTAATCTTACAGAGCTTGTAAACATTCTGCAGACTGAACCTTTTCAAAGTGGTGATAATTTTCAAGATGATGTATGGAATATTAAACTTTCTGAAATTCATAAAGCGAGTAGGAAAAGAGATAATTTAATTCTAGCCTTTATAGTTGTGCAGTTATTTTGTATTTCATTGGCAGTTGTAGTCAATTTCGTGTATTTGAATGGTAAGTATATAAACAGTGTTAAAGTAACTTATACAGTCGTTATTTATTAAAATAGTCTATAGGTCTTTAATATCGTGAGCAATTTTTCCAGATACAATTAAATATTTTCCATCTGCAACGAATTCGAAAAAGGTAAAAAAAAAATAAATAAATAAACCAAATGTGCTAAAAATACTTTCAACATAAATAAAAACCCTATTAAAACCTACTTATTTAAATATCATTTAAACGATTATCAATTGTTGCAGATGCGGTTACAACATGCAGTTGATTTTTAATTTCGAGAAAATATATAAACATTTTATAAATTTGTTTGCTTAATTTTACCTGTTTTCACAAAAAATTGTCTCGATCTTTTGATATAAAATTGTCATGTCACTTTTGGTGTCATTTTCCATTCATTTTGGCGATACAGATAACGTTTGATACGAAACTTTTGATTGGTTATTCGTTAGATAAAGATGTTCATTCTTAAAATGAACTACACAAATTATTATCTCTCATTTTTTTACAAGATTTCTAAATAAATAATGTCAGTTTGTTTTAAAAGTTATTTGCATTAGAAATTAAAGAAAAATTTACATCTATGTGATAAATTTTGATTGTATTTGTATATTAAAATGCGTTTTTATACCGTACATAGTAAATATCATGTTTTGCTATCTATAGTAAATGTGTCCATGAGACACTTTGGCGATTAATAAGTTACAAAGGTAAATGAGTCCATACGAATTCAATATTAATCCGACTTACGTTCATACAACTGGTTTAAACATTAATCTGCCTTGTCTGTATAAATAAACAGTCTCTAACAGTCTCTAATCTTTAAAGGTAGATTCAGCTTCTTTGATGGAGAGTTGTCTCATTGGCACTCATACCACCTCTTCTTATATCTATCTAAAATATAGTTAATAAGAAACTGTTTAAAACGTAGGTTTTCATTTAACTCGTCTAACTACCATGGCAATATCCGACATTTTTGTAGTCAGCGGGGTTTGGTGACGCATTGATGCCACGCCATCCTGTTATACAGTAAAAAGTTTCTATGAGTCACCATACATGAGCAAGTCAATTGAAAAAAAAAAAAAAATAAGACATGAATGCAGAATTTTATTACTATAGTAAACGGCAAGTGACAAATATAACACGCGGTTTAATAAACACTGCGGGAGTACATGTCTACCAGTCTTTGCTGCTACTTCCACATGCTTGGCAGAAACAGCAAATTCCATTTAAAAGTATTTTCATAAATTGAAACCACACAACTCCGAGTTCTATGCTAGCATCATACATCTAGAAAAATACAGTTTAATTTATAGATGACTGTTGATGCTGATACTTTTGAATCATTGTACACATTAAGGTGGCATATAACACTACAGGGAGATAACTCTGTAAAAATTAGCTGAAGTTTCAAAATATTTAGCTTCTCAATGATCAAAATCAGTGTTTGTCAAACTGCTTTATTATCAATACAATTTTTCCGACAAAGTGTATTGCACAAGTTTTTTGATTTTTTTTATATTTTTGTCTAAGGGTCAAAATAAATATTTTGTCAAAATTTTATGAAAAGAGCCAAATTAATTTTAGTCAAGGTGTTTGTTACCACTTAAAAAATTGAATATTTTGTATTATTTATAATATAATCAATAATCTATTCCAGATAATATAGAAAGAAGTGTAAGACTAGAAAAGCAGATACATCAATGGACAATTAATACCTCAAAACTTACAAGTCTAGACAAACAAGGTCAATTATCATGTAAGTTCACGTAGACTTAAATTAAATAATCTTCTCAAATATTTAAGTACGAAGAAAACTGATAATTTTCTCGGCAAACTTCAGACAAAATCATATCATATAAAAACAAACATATGATTCCGATTACCGGGCTTATCTCACGTGTTTTTTTAACAACCATATAAGGTAAAATTCGAAACAAAACTTTCGGAGAGTCGAATATAAATAGCACGTTTAAGAAGATAAAACGCACGCTCATTAGGGATAACTTTATTTAACAGAGGTTTGTAATAAAAAAAAAATACAGTTTTGCTAATATGCCTTCTCATTGACGTATACTCCTTACCTCGGTTTATTCAAAAAGGTCTTACCATTTATTTTTTCCTTCTATATAATACATTTCATTTTATTAAAGATGGCAGTGATATGGAAGAACTGTTTAAAGGTGATAAGGGATCTAGAGGCAAAGCGGGTGCTAATGGTAATCAAGGCAACGCTAGTGAAAAAGGAGAGAAAGGTGAAAGAGGCGACAATGGACTTATAGGACCAATTGGCAGACAGGGCGTTAAAGGCGAAAAAGGAAACAATGGTTTTGTAGGATCAAAAGGTCAAATTGGAGATAAAGGAACAATTGGTGAAAAGGGATCAACAGGGATAAAAGGTCGAAACGGAGAAAAAGGCATAAAAGGCAAAAATGGACCAATGGGAGATAGAGGCGTAACAGGCGAAAAAGGATCAATGGGAGATAAAGGCGTAACAGGCGAAAATGGACCAAATGGAGATAAAGGAACAGTTGGTGAAAAAGGACCAACAGGGAAGAAAGGACCAATTGGAGAAAAAGGCGAAAAAGGAACAATCGGAGATAAAGGCCCAGATGGTGCAAAAGGTCTAGACGCAGAAAAGGGTGTAGCTGGCGTTAAAGGTACAGAGGGTCAAAAGGGTTCAAAGGGCGAGATGGGATCATCTGGCATAATTGGTCCTACCGGAAACAAAGGTGTAAATGGTACAAAGGGAGTCACTGGTGTTAAAGGTCAAATGGGGGAAACTGGACTACCTGGCTTGAAAGGTGAACACGGCGAAAAGGGTATCAATGGAGACATGGGTACTACAGGACAGAAAGGTGCATTTGGTTACAATGGTCAAAGTGTTCAATTATATACAACTCGTTTAAGGTCAGGACAATTTCAATAGAAACGTTTGTGTTAAAGTACAAAGTGTATTAATAATGTTTTGAGTAATTGTAAGGACTCATGTTATAATTTTTTTTTATTCCGTTTCGTCAAAAGTTTGAGACCGATTATACACAGATCAACTAAGGCTTAGACTAATTAAATTGAAACAGTTGTGTTAAAGTATTAAAGGTATCACTAAAGCACTAAATAGTAGTAGTCACTCCTGATATAAATTGGTCCATACTTTAAGACGTATGAATATCAAGACAACAGTAATGATAATGTTATATTCCTGCTAAACGTTCATGTATTACATACATGAGAACCAACAGGGGCCTAGGATCGTTAAAAAAGTAATTGAACATACAGCTTTATGAGTTTTCGTTGTGATAGACACTATACATCAGTATGTTTTTTCTTTACAAAAGTATATGCAAATAAATTGTGTGTATTATACTGCAACTGTGCTGTTGGCACAGTCACATTGTATTGCATCTTTATTAATTTGTGATCTGCAGCCACTGACCATTTATCTCCATTTTTATGTCGTTAGCAATGCGCTTCCGTCGAATTTTCTTTATGACGTTACTCTAAATAAAAAATAATATGGTTTCTCTCAAATATTTCAATAAAAACAGGTGTAGGAATTGTAGTATAAACAAAATAACCGTTAATTGATTAGAACTATATACACGTTTCTTTCTATATAGTAAACACTCGTTTACTGGCTATTCGAACAAAAGTCAGTTTATTGTTTTCCGAGACACTAACTATTTCTCTTCGCTTCGCGTCGGCAAATAGTTAGTGTCTCGAGGAACAATAAACCTGCATTTGTCCTCATAGCCAGGAGTAAGTGTAAACTATTGTACCTCTGTATGTATTTTCGTTATAAAAATATAGACGAAAACCTTAATTATTTTTACGGAATTGTCTAAAAAAAGACTATTTACGGGTTATTATTCTAAAACAACTATTAATTGGGTATAAACTATATATTGGAAGAAAACATTTTCGTAAACAAATCTATTTACATGAGGGACGAAAGATACCAGAGGGACAGTCAAACTCATAGATCGAAAACAAACTGACAACGCCATGGCCAAAAATAAAAAGACAAATAGACAAATAATAGTACAGATGACACAACATAGAAAACTAAAGACTAAGCAACATGAACCCCACCAAAAACTGGGGGTGATCTCAGATGCTCCGGAACGGTAAGCAGATCCTGCTCCACATGTGGCACCCGTCGTGTTGCTCAAGTTATATACCTATTTACCGAAAGCGAACATTTTCCCGTACTTTCTGTATAACAAACCACACATTAACTGGTATTAGTTTGCATGTTTCTAAAGTCGATTCATTTTTTTTTCAAATCAGAATGAAATTTATAGATTTTATATGTGAAAGAAAATGTTTGCTTCTATTTATAGTACTGGTGTGTCATTTTATATATTTTATTTTAGGAGCAGGTGGGGAAAAGGGCGAAAAGGGAAGTGTTAGAGAACCAGGTATGATATCGATATATTCGATATTTCAGAATCTGAAAAAAGCCGGGATATTTTTGTTTGTTTGAAGAGTAGTTCATGATTTATCTTCATATTGATTACACAGACCCAAAACCAAACCAGCGAAATTCACTCATTCATCTTAACGTATGAATACAAATACATGAGATACCATAAAATAATTGAGTACTCCAAACGTGGAGATAGTAAAACCTAAATGCTTCGAAAGATTTCAAACTTTAATGAACAGTGAATTGATAAAAAAAAAGATGGTCTGATCAAAGGAAGATGTGGGCTAAACATATTTTGCTCAATTATCTGACAAACACAATCTAAATTCTTCTGTAAAACAGTCGTTTGCTCAAAAGGAACACTACACATGAAAATAATCAAAAATCTAAATATAGAAGATAAAAACTCTCTAAACTAAAAATAGAGATGGTTATTATTAACTTTTAAATACAAATAATTCTTTAATGTTGTTTGACAAATAACAAAATAAAATGACACAAAATTATCAATAGATATTTCAAGGTGTTTGTATTTGTCTATGTTACTGTTATTCTGACTTGAATCCGACTATTCTCCTCTCTATTATGTATATGTTTTAAATAGTTATTATTATACGTGTTATATAAACATTGCAGTTTAAATATGAATATTTATGTTTTTTAAAGCTAAGAAAGTGGCCTGTGGATCTGGTTGGGGTCGGTTTATGGGAAGTTGTTATAACTTTCAATTGAATTCAAAAAAGACATGGAATGAAGCAAAAGTAAGTTTAAATGAAATAAAATATCAAATGATTTTTTGTTGTTATTAAAATGTTATGTGTCAGTTTATTTAAACACTGCCCTTACGTATGAACTACATTTGAAAACTTAATCCGCCTATCTATTCTATATTCATGCCAGACGCTTTAAGTTACATCTTTATGTAATTGAGTACCAAGAATATAAAAGAATTTATTATTTATTTAACTAGTTCGCGTAAAATAATGCTGGTACATTCTTCCATCCATCTACCCCTATCTGTCTGTCAATCTATCCATTTATCAAAATATCTATTTCATTTGCAGTGCATGCTTCAGTTAAAAAAAGATAAAAAAACAATAGGAGCAATCATAGAATAACTCCAGAGGTATTGTGAAATTACCTACTCTATGGACAGTGTGAATCAAATAGGGATACTAAACAAATCCAAAGATTTTTTGAAATACATACAATTTAAGTCTCCCTCACCTGATAAACAAGGACGGTCAACTTAGATACTTATTTCTTGTTTCAGGGATGGATAAGTTATACTTCTCTGATTCAAAAACAAAATTCTATAAACAATGGCGACAGTAGTTAACCGATTTTCATTTTTTTCGTTAATCGAACAAGGTAACAAAGTCTAAGGCAATCACAAAAACTCAAAAATAGACCAGGCAGGGTGCCTGGATAGTGTAAACGTCTTCTGATCTGCATTCATCTTCCGCCATGCTAATCCGCATTCAGTTAAAATGTCACAAACGAGAATATGACACAACTGTTTTGTAAAGATCTGACACCGAGAAATGATATCGATATTGAGACAAAGACACATCGTATCGACCAACCCAATCTTGATGGTGACCGTAAAACCTACTCAGAGTCGATAACAGCCGTTCTATCTCATAATTTTGTTTCAGTTTTTTGTGTTAGGAACACGCCCCTGTAAATAATTGAGATATGTTAACACCATATGATGGAGCAGAAGTTATGCTACCACTGAGAAATGGGAAGTGGACAATTGCAAAGCTGAAATCATTAAGTTTGCAATAAATTATAGTTTGGTGTCGTCAACCGGTGTCGAGGAAAACATCCTATGACGAAGACATTCTACTTTCGGTAGTATCCTTAATCTCAAGCACACTGGAATATAAGAGATTAAAACCGACATTATTGAGATGCCTGGTAATTTATTGACAATTTAGGAGGACGTTTTTTCAACAATCGATTGGTATTAATATTAGAACCAACTGTGCGCCTCTTTTTGCCGACTCGTTCCTTTGTGCAAGTGAGGTGTACTTCATACAGTAGATTATCAGGAAAAATGAATAAAAAGCTAGCATTATCTTTAACTTCAAGTTCTGCTATCAAGGTCATTTCCTCTCATTTCATAATTCAAACTTTGGTGACTGCTTTGAACGCATCTATCCCATAAGATATGAAATAAAGGATCCGACAGAGGCAGTTAAGTCTATTTCATATATCTTGTCTAACATCTATAAATGAGAGACACAACTTTACGACAAACGAGATGATTTCAGCATCCCAATTGTGAACTTTCTATTTCTACGTTGCACAAATCCATCAGTTCCTGCATAGGGGATATACATTAATCTGTAAATGCGATATTCGAGAGCTTGCGCTTACAAGGAAACAATTAAACAAAGGGTTTCAAGTTGTCCAGATGAATTCAACCCTTCGTAAGTTTCACAGACACCGTCATTAATTGGTTGATCTTTATATAATATATGTGTCACAGATGACCACGGATATGATCAATTTGTCGTTATCACAAATCCATCCTCTTTCTCCGAATGTGACTTCACTGAATTAGACTAATTACTGAATATGTTCTTACATGAGCAACACGACAGGTATAATGTGATGCAGGATATGCTTAGCCTTCCGCAGCATTTGAGATCAACCCCGATTTTTGATGGGTTGATATTGGTCAGTCTTTGGTGTTTCTATGTAGTGTTTTGCAGACTGGTCTGTTTGTCTTTTCACCGTTTTCGATTTTTGGCAAATTGCCAGATTCACTTCAATTTTTGAGTTGGAAAGTGTGTTTTGTTTTAGGCACAGATTTTTGTAAAGAAAAAAGTGTTTGTTTAAATTGGAATAATCAAACACTATCTTTAATTAAAGATTCAGCTACCATCAATGTAATAAAGTTACACCGGGTTATGCTAGAGTTTCCAAGACAACTTCAATCCAGCCCAACACAATGAAAAATATAGGTGTTAGATTATCCAAAGCATTACCTCAACAAACTTACTTATTGGAACCAATTCAAACTTCCAAAAACAATTTTCTAACGGCTAAATGTTTGATTAAAAACAAAAACAACAAAGCCTCTATACAAATTATAAATCCCACAAACGAAATAATAAAACTGTGCCCTGGTTTGATTATAGCTACTATTAATGAGGTAGATACTACAAGTATATTGTCTTTAGATGATAATCAATCGGAAAATAAATCAAAAACTTCATCTTTAAATTCAGTGCAGCAAACATCTTCCACTCAGTCTGATCTTCACTTTGATTTTTCAAAAAGTGATTTAACTGATCAACAAAAACAAAAATTAACTAAATTTTTAAATAAAAATAGAGATGTTTTTGCAACTAGCCTAAAAGAACTAGGTAAAACAAGTGTTTATCATCATAAAATTGATACAGGAAATTCTAAGCCAATTAAATCTCGGCCTTATCGAACATCACCAGCAGCTAAACAAGAAATTCAAAGGCAAATAGATGAACTTT